TATACTGTAAAAATATATGTATGTATATGTGTATATATGTAAAGAATGCTGTGCTGCTATATATACACACACACTCTGACCACGTACTATTATACTAATGAAAAAGAAAATGGAGTTGCTTTTAAACTTGTTCTTTGTTGTTATTGCTCCAGTTCTATAGCCTTTGGATATCTAGTTTGTGTCATTTAATTGGACAACAACCCAAACATACTGTAGAACAGGTGAAAGAAACGTACAGTAGGAGTATGTATATAAAAGTTTTTTGGAAGAACTTGACAGGCTAATACTATCCCTTTTATGTCATAAGTACTGTAACCTGTAGCTTCTCGGCTTCACCACCTTTCCTATATATTTCTTTCACTTTAAGTACATCATTCTCCTGTCTTTCTTCTCCTAGTCTCATATGGCAGACTCTGATACAGCAGTGATAAAGTTACACTAGCATCACAGTTACCCCAGAAGGTCAGACAAGGGACAGGAAAGACTCGGCCAACCTCTTGTTTATTTCACTCTACTTCATGTCCTCCTGTCCTTTCTGCCTCTCTCTCTCGCTCAGTCGCTCTCTATCATACATATAAATTATTGCTATAGAGTTTGTGACTGTGTAGTCATTTTTCTTTGCAAACACTGCCTCCACTGTGTGGGTTAACCGATTGGCTGAGCCTGTGATACCTCTGGCAAACACTTACAGATGGAGTACACAGAGACTTGTGTAACTTGCAGTGCTTCTTTGGTGAGCTGCCAAATGAGCTCCCATCTGCTGCTCCTTCCCAGTGTTTAATGTTAGACTCTGTATCTTAGCAAAATTTCATACATCCTTCAGGCTTTACATTCGTTTACTATTTTGAGTTCTATATCAAACATATTTCTACCACAGCAAACTGATTTTTTGTTTTGCAGCCTGCTGAGGTGTTTGAGTTTGAGGGAAATGTCTACAGTCACCACTTGTCTCCCATTGCTAGAAAACACAGTCTCATTGCAGGTACGTGTGTTACATCACAGTCTTTGCTAATGTGTGTGAAGTAGAACAAACTCGCTTAAGTTCATGCTGGCAGTTTTTGTCACTGGATGCTAAAAAGCATTGAACCAGACATGAAAGTGCCATTAGTTACAAATTCTTCCATCAGTTAATTTCTCCCGGCAATGTACTACATACCACCCATCAGCACACCCAGCTCTTAATCCCCTGGTCATGACAGGAAACGTAGCTGCAGGGTGAACATGCAAGTTAAGGAGACATGGAGTTAGGTTCATGGATAGATTTCTGTGGAAAGACATTGAAGGAATTCAGGTGCTACCTGAATTCCTTCAATGTCCTTCATGTTACTGAGCAGGACCAACAGGTTACTCATGTCTGCCCAGAATGTGCACATATGTTTTCACGGTACTGCCGAGTCACACACATACATACTCTGGCACTAGGTGTGTCACTGGGAAGGACCCAGTGACACACCTAGTGCCAGAGTGAAAACGCTCACTAGTGATTTGCCTCTTTTGAGAGAAGTTACAGATGATGGTCAAACTAGTTGCATTTATTTTTCTGGGTAGACAATTTTGAGGGAACCTCTTAAAAGCACCAGAGGCTCATTAAATGAATAGCATTCACTTTTAAAACTCTTATAACTTTCTTAAATTCTCTTCATGCTTTGTGTGTTGGCTCATCTTTATCAAAAGTTAGTATCAGTAAGAATTTTACCACACCCAATCTGTGGGAACCAATGCACCAGGTTTCATTCAGTTGAAACACTGCTACCATTATACATGATTGCAGATGTTACTAACCTTTAAAATTTGTCACTGATCAGTACTTATTGTGAAAGAGTACACTGTGCGATTTTAAAAATAATACCTTAATTATTTTAATTGGTCATAAAGTATGCAAAGTTCTCATTTTAAGGTGGAAAGCCTAAACATGATTAGCTTAGCACAAAAGGCCCCAGAAAACACTGAGTATTGTAAATAATACATTTATAATACTTTTTTTTTGTTTGTTGTGTGTCGCAATTTCAGCAATTTAGGTTTCGAGTTTTCAATTTGGAGATTTGATTTTAAATAGACATTTTTCAGCAAGAGGTGTACAACTCGATAGAACAGCGGAGCTCTGCACTAAAGCAATGACTCCTTTTCAACTGTCTTTTATTAGACTGGATGTCTGAGTTATATTATAAAAAAAAAATTAAATTTCTTTTTGCTTTTGCATTTTCAGTTGGCACCAAATACCCTAAAATCCAGCTGTGTGACCTGAAGTCTGGTTCACGAACTCATGTTCTGCAAGGTTGTTGGAGTAGATTGTCCAGGCTTTATCGACACATACACCCTTATTATTGCATAAACACAATTTCTGAGCAACTTGTTAATAAACAATGGTGTATGCTCTCTGTAGGTCACAGAGCAGAGGTCCTCTCTGTGCGATGGTCGCCCAGATACGAACACATCTTGGCTACAGCCAGGTAAGAGTAATCTAGTGCTGTCCTGTCTGTGTCTGGAGTCTCCACCTCAGAGATCTTCCATTTGCCCTCTTAGCACTATCACAGCATAGGGCCAGGTCCAGGGCAGTGCCGCTGTGTTGTGTCCTAGTACACTCTGTTATCTCGGTTCTGACCAACTGGTTATGATGCAGCCCTGAGTCAAGGATAATGGTGCAAGCACCACAAGGAGCTAGGCGTTCTGTCAATCGTGCCTGGCCTTCTGCCATATGGTAGATACAGTTCCCACCTTTTTTCACGCTACAATATGCCTGCTAATTAACCCACTGAGAGCGCTGCACTGCTGTCCCTCTGGACGCTTAAGTGATTTTGAAAACAACAGGCATACAGAGGCATATGTGATAGAAGCCAGGGATTGTTTGTATTAACCATTCACAAGTTTATTTATTCATTCCTTTATTTCTTCAAAGCAAACACTTTTTCTCACACACTGCTGTACTCACTCAGGGTCATCTGTCAAAGTCTTTGATATTACTCCTGTATTAAACCATGTTTCATTTTTTGTATAAAACTGTTATCTTTAAACAAGTAAAAAAGCGATAATTGCCCCGTTTTTTTCTCTTTTTAAGTGCAGACAGCAAGGTGAAAGTATGGGATGTACGCCGGGCTACAGGTAGCCTCTTCACTCTGGACCAGCACAATGGAGACAAATCCAAAGCCTCCTCAGAGGCAGGTACTGTTCTCACTCCTGCCTTCCATTGTTTGGTACTCTTTTTAAACCAAGGAGTTAAAAATCAGACATATTCTCATAAAATATTACCGTAATTGACGGACTATGAGCCACTATTTTTTTTAAACAATGATGTGCCTAATTTAGCAGGAAAGAAGCAGGAAACACCTAACACGGAAGAGCTGCCTAAATTTCCCTAAAGGAAACTCTCGAGGGATTAATAAAGTGCTATCTATCTCTCTATCTACCTGCAACTAAAACAGGATAGGAATAAAATGACAGAATAGAGGTCTGAGCTGGTTGTAGAAGTAGTCAACATTTTTTACACTCTGCTTTGCTGTAGGGACCTCTTGGTTTCAGGTTATTCTGGTTGACAATGAACCAGACTTGTGTCTTTGTAAGTAAGTCAACACTCAGACACTACAGTATCTGCTGTACCTGCCTTATTTCCTGTTTATCCTCCTTATGGACCGCTTTTCATGTTGAGTAATCTGGAATATATTTAAAGTGATGTTTAATATATAATATATAAGTCTTGCTTTATATCCTATTATTACAAGATCTCTGCTGCGTACAACACAATAAGACAATTATGCTCAACACATTGTGACCATATTTCACTTGGTTCTGTGTAGTTAACACTGCACATAACGGCAGAGTGAATGGCCTCTGCTTCACTGGTGACGGACTCTACATCCTCACTACTGGAACTGATGACCGTATGAGACTTTGGAACAGTGCCACTGGAGAAAACACGCTGGTAAGTTTCACAATCGGGTTTTATTTTTACGGCCAACTTTATTAATAGTTTTTCCCACCCAGATGTACAACAGTCCCCAAAGTGATAGATTAGGTACCTGAAAAACTGCCGTTATGATTTAGTACTTTTGTCTAGTTTGTCTAATTAATTTGTCTATTGTGTTGCAGTTAATCTTATAGAAATCACATTGTCACGCTTCTTAAGCAACAGCATTTTGCACTTTTGGAGTATTTACATTAGACAGCTGCTTCTCCTGGGATTCCAAACTTCCAGAAGTTTTGTGCATGTAGACAGCGGCTTTGTGGTGTTCGCAAATTAGCCAGAGTAAAGATCCTGCTAACGACAGAGAGAGAGAAATTGTGATTGGCCACTTCTGTGAAATAGACCAATCAGCTTTCATTGACAATGACAGATTTGATTACATGTTTCATTTTATGTACATTTTAAACAAACATTTAAGTCGGCAGGTGGTTAGTTAAAACTTCCTGAACAATCGAAACATCTTGAAAAGCTCTTTTAAGTATAAATACGTATATATGTAAATCTGTATAAGTATAATAGTATAATAAGGAGATCTATAGGTTTATATTCCAGATTTGAGAAGAACGAATAAACAATACAACACACAATACATATGTACAATAAAAAACTATGTGGGGCAAAATGAAGATTATAATGGTTAGTCTGCTGTGTGGAAAAGTTTTCAAATCCCATCCAAAGACAGGAACCTGTGTTTGTCATGGGTCAGTGCAAGCTACAAGCTGTATTACAAACACTATCACAAAATTTCTGAATATTTTACCTTTGAGTATGTGTAGCAAATACAGAATGCTTCTCGACAGGTCCTTATCCTTGTTCTCCATCTAGACCAGTACTTCTCAAATAGTGTGGCGTGCCCCATTTGCGGGTGGCGGGAGGGGTTGTGAGGGGCTTCCAAAGGAATATGGTATGCATATCGACATAAGTGTACCACTACTGTAATGCTTGAATGATAACAAGCCTCCAGTCAATAGGTGGCAGCAACTCAAAATATACATGTTATATGGTTCTCAATAGTATTTCAATTTGCAAGGGTGGGTGGAGGGGCATGAAAACATGTCTGTCCCCAAGGGGGGCATGACAGAAAATAATTTAGAACCACTGATCTAGACATGTGCCAAACTCGAGCCCACCACATAATTTTATGTGGCCCTCTAGTGCTGAACATGTGTATGGTCACTGACTATAATACAGTCTATACTTTCGGTAATATTTGGTAAGTGGTAATAATTTACCGTGAATTTAAAGTAATGCCTGTTAATTAATGCACGTTGAGTTATAACCCAACTGAGATGTGGGCCAATCATCGCTCATAGTTTAATAGTCTTTTGTCAATATGAAATACCAAAAAGTATACACATAACACAAGAGACGCTCAGTTACTGGCTCTCGTGTGGCTCCCTCACCTGTTTTCCTCTCACATAGTGTAGTTATCATGGTAGGAATTTTTCCATCTTCAAGCAGAAGATGGGGAGAAGGCCGGTGACTCTTTCTCCTGGGCAAAGGTTTCTGAGTGCTGTGGATGAAATGTGGGCAGGTGAACTGAATTTATGACGTGGTACAAACCTGTTTTATTATCCAAGGCCTAAATAACTGTATTGTTTTTGTCTGCTTACAAGATGTTTTAGACGCAACATATTTTAACTAAAGCCTTAACTTAGTTAACCCAACATTTTCAGCTTGTTATCTCAATTTGACATCACAAATTTCTGGTGACCCCAGAGACATTTTCTTTTCCTATAATTAGTTTTTGATCATGGTTATACTATTGCAAATACAGAGTAGCCAGATTAGTGCACAAAGTGACATTTTGTTTACCAGTGCTGGCTCAAATATTTTTGTATGTTGTTTTATTTGAACTTGATTTATATTGTATTATAACATACTGTATATATTATATTATATTATATCCATCCATCCATCCATCCATTTTCATCCGCTTATCCGTTACCGGGTCGCGGGGGCAGCAATCGCCACCCATATCACAGTGCACCGTACCAACCCCCCTAAACCTTCCTGCAGGTGGTGAGTCCACTGGAAGGTACCAACCGCCCTGACCAGGATTCGATCATGCCCAGGAGGTGAACCCTCGGGTTCCACACCAATGACAGAGACATTGCCTCTGGGCCAAAGCGCCACTATTATATTATATATTGATGATAATAAAAGGATACCATTATTTAGGTTTATCAGTATCAGTAACTACATCTAAGATTACTGGACTGGCTTTTCGGAAGATGTTTCACCTCTTATCCAAGAGGCTTCTGCAGTTCTAACTGTCCAGTCTATACAGTATATTGACGTGACCAATTTCCTTCATTCCACTGCTTCTACTTGTGCTTCAGGTGAATTATGGTAAAGTCTGCAACGAGAGTCGTAAGAAGGTGCAGTTCACTGTGTCACGCGGCTGCAGCCCAGAATTTGTGTTCGTGCCATGTGGCAGCTCCATCGCAGTGTACGCCCTCCACACGGGGGAGCTGGTCACGATGCTACGGGGTCACTACAACAATGTAGACTGCTGCGAGTTTCACCCGGACTATCAGGTGACACAAAAGTGCAGACTATTCCTTGTCAAATACAAATGCTGCATTTGTTTGTATCTCTCTCTCTTTCTCTCTTTCTCTCTCTCTCTCTCTCTCTCTCTCTCTCTCTGTCTCTCTCTCTCTCTCTGTCTGTCTGTCTGTCTCTCTTTCTATGGTTTTCATTCCTCTCAAAGAATTTAGAATACATTTTCTTTGTCTACTGACCTTGTTCATTTGTATTTTTTTTCAACTGCTCAGCAGTTGTCAGTGCAAAGAGAGCCATTTAATTTGCATTTACAGTAGGAACAGTAAATGCAAATTATCTGTTTCTCCTTAGTTGTCGCAGTCATGTTGCCAGGTACCTGGGAGATTCTATGTATCACAATGGTTCTATTCTGTTCTGATTTTGAGGACTACAGCCATAAGAAAATCTATATATAAAATGTAGATAAAAACTTAAGTAACTTTGACATAATTGCTATTAAAGTATATGTTTCTAGTGTCTCTGAATTTTAAGTTTAAGTGCTAACTGTAAGCTGTCGTGCTTTCTTCTGCCATTCATTCTCCTTTTCACTGCTTGTTTATGATTGTCCCGTGGGGCCGATGTTCACTGTGTGTGTGTGTTTTAAAGAGAGAAATTATGCATCAGCAGCACATATTCCTTGTGCACTTTCTTATCCTTTTTAGCATTTTATTACACAGGAGCTGTATAGTGGAGGGAAAGACTGTAACATCCTGGCGTGGGTTCCTGTTCTCCGTGTATCAGACATGGAAGAAAAGTCCAGGAACTCAAATAATAAGGTAAGAGGCAAAAAAAAGCCAAAAATGTTTCTTTTCTGATTACAGTATGGCCCACATTGTAGTAAGGCTTACTCAATTCCAAATGGCTTCCTCTCACTTGTCTTTTACCTGCTCGACTGGATTTTCTGACTTTCCTCAGCAGCAACAGCTGCTGTCATTACCCTTAGTCAAAATTGCAGTCAAGTTATTTTAGCGCATAGATGTGTTGTGTGTTTTTTCATTCTATGTTTAGGGTTTTGTCAGTATTGGTTGGTAAAATAATTAAGTAATGCATATCCTAATTTCAAAACATCCTTATCTTTACAGGTTGCTGCCGACCAGACACCAGTGGACCCTGCCTTTCAGGATGCTTGGAGCAGCGATGAAGATTAATGCTGATGTATTTATGTGTATAAACAACACAAACATTGTTTTCTTTTGTTTTTGTTGTGCCATAACATTGAAGTGAACATGTGTACATGTAAAGAATGTTTCCTTTTGTAAAGTTGATGGAACATTGTATGATTTGTAAGATTTATTTAAATGTATGTAAAAAAAACAACAAAAACATGGCCATTGTTTTACATTTACATTTATTCATTTAGCAATTGCCTTTATCCAAAGCAACTTACAAGATGAGGATTAACAATCGGGTTAAATAAAGGAACTCTTGAAAGTAGACCAGTAGTTAGGAAACAAGTGCTGAAGGAGATAGAGGAGGGTAGGGGTGGGACAAGAGGTGCTCTCTGAAGAACTGAGTCTTCAAGACTTTCTTGACGCCCCTGTTCAGGTAGTGCTTGGTAGGTCATTCCGCCAACGTGGAATGACCCTTGAAAACAGCCTGGATTGCCTTGTATGTGGTGTTGGGACAGCCTGACGTTCCGTTGACCAGCGGAGTGCTTGTGAGGCAACATATATGTTGCTGCCACCTAGTGACTGGAGGCTTTTTATCATTCAAGCATTACAGCAGCGGTGCACTTATGTCCAGTGTGCCATATTCCATTGGAAGTCTTTCACGCTTCCCCTGGCACCTCACCCCGCCCCCTCAGGGGAGCCCGCCCAACTATTTTAGAAGTACTGATTTAATGCCAGCGCTAAAATCCTTAGCTCTTTCTCAGTGCTTCAAACAGTACAACACATTCTTTAACCTGCATTTCTAAACACACCAGTGCTTTTTGGAAGTGTACTTAAGTATACACAGAGCAACTTTTTTTGGTTTTGCGACTTTCTCACAACACTGTAATTAAACTGGCAGAGGTAGAAAGAAAATATTTAAAAAATCTACACAGAAAACTGGTGAGTCTTGGAAGATGTTAATTCAAAATACAAAAAAAGTCTATGTCAGTTAAAAAAATCAGTGTAAAAACTGTCTCTGTTGACTATTTTAGACGTTTTGAATTTTATCTGAAGTCACTGTCCAACCATATGAACATTTTTACTGGAATTAATCATTGGTTACGTATGAAGATTGGCATGTACTGTATTTTCGATGGGGTTTCACACATTTCCTGCATTTCCTCCATTATGACAATGGGCGGGTCTATTTGATGGACACGTCACGCTGTCTCATAAAAAGCGCGACCGGTCAGCGTGTGAATAGAGCTGACGACACACCCACGACAAGCGGCAGGTGAATAGAAGTTTTAGTCACAGTCGGATACAAGAAAATACCAGTTTGGTGTCGTTTTTCAACGCCCCAGAAGCTGTAGCAGCTTAAGAAGGTTGGTACTTCAAAATATTTTTTAACAATGTTTATTACAAGATCTTTTAAAGGCCCGTTCGTCGAGACATACGCGTGTCCGTGATTAATGAACGCTGTCACACCTGTTGAGCTCCACAGTGATGCCGGTTATGTGACCTTGTTACTGGAGGATTGCCTTTTAAATTTACCCTGGTACTTGTTTGCCTATGAAACGGGGGTAGAAATGTGGAAACCTTTTTTTAAAGGAAACACAAAGCTGCACAAAACATCAAGGTAGAAACGAATCACTTTTATATAAGTCGTCATCTTTGGCGGTCATGTTGTAAAATTGTTTTTAGTAAACGATTTGACACTGTTCCGGTAACATGGCTTGTTGCTAGATTTATTAACGAAGCATGGAGAATGATCCCTTTCAAGAGACCCCGGAAGTATCCACCAGAGGGCGACTTTTGCCGAAACTCAGTTTAAATACAAGGGCATGCATAAATCAATTGCATTCTTCTTCCTGTGACGTCAACAATGTCGAATGATTTTTTTATTATTTATTTATTTTTATTATTTGATTTACTTTTTAAAAAAGTACCTGCAATTAAGGGCTATGGTTTATATGTGGTTTACTCTGTCAAAAATGTTCTATATTTTGACAGAGTAAACCACATCTAAACCATAGCCTTTAATAGCAGTTAAGATTATAGTAAAGAGAAATATTCTTCAAAACACTGAGATATATATTTACATTTTAAATTTTATCAAATATGTAGTGTTTAGTTTGTCAGTGTCAGCACAGGAATTTTACTTCCTTAGTCATTCTTGCAACCTGACAATGATTCAACAGCAGCTTAAACAAATGCTTGTGTAAGTCAGCTCCATTTAATTAAACATTGACTTTTTATGTGTACCTTTTATTTTTAAAGTGACTTACAATCTAGTCCGTAACGTTCAGAAATGACGAGACATACAATGTTGTGTAACATTAAAGGTCACATTGTTAAAAAAGTTATTTTTTTAATATTAATAACAAGTACACATTTTTGGTCTACACCCAAACTGGTGACTAATATTTGTCAACCAGAGTACAGATTTCCAACTGAACTTCCACTGGAATAGCACCACAATAGGTGCATTATTGGCATGTCGCAACAAACCAGTGTTTGAAACACTGGCTAATGACTGATGTTACTCCATGGTGCTCAGTAACTGTGATCATAGTTGATATTGCGGACAGTGTGAAGACAAGAATGGGCATCATGGGAGCAGCAGCTTTACATCAGGGTACCAGACTTTAGATAAGTCAGGACCTCGTTACAAATAGACTCCAGACACCTTTGCCTTTTTTAGCCATTGCTCTTCCCTTCGTAAGCTTCCTGTTGCATTTAGGTTGACGCACCTTGAAAACCTGTCATGTAGGCTTGTCTGCAGGTAGTAGATGTGTAATGTGCTAATTGTGTTACTGTGGTTTGACTACTTTATTTGACAAGGCTTGACGTTTGGGTTCATGTAGTGAATCGGGGACTGTTCAAGGCAAAACTGTGGATTAGTTTGTTGTGTGAATAAAGCAGTTTATTAACTAATCAAATTTTCATTAACCCTCATCACTGTCGGTTCTTAGATAACAGAAGCATCTTCATTGTTCTCCTGGACAGTACATGCAAAGCTTTGTCTGATTCAGATGGAAACAGCACCTTTCTCTGACTTTCTTTGACTTGTTTTATTAATTTAAATGTAAAGCTGAGATTAACTGCATTTGTTTTGTGTGGTAAAAGTTTCAATTGTTGACATTTTTCCATCTTGGGCTCCTACCAGTTGTGTGGTTTAAAAACATTTTTAATTTGCAGTGAATTGTCAAGAATGTGCTTTTTGCTTTAGAACGAATGTATTATTGTCTGTGTGTATTGTATACCTTCAGTCCATGTGTGAAAATGAGGAACCACTAATCTGAGCTGTTTGTTTGTTTTTCTCCCCAGGTGAACTGCAAGGAACCATCTGAAAATGCAGATAAATAATTTAACATCCTCAGTCGTATTGATTTATAAAGACTTTATTCAAAATGCAGGTGGGTCATTGTCAAAACTTTCCAGACTTGTCTAACACACTGATACATTTCCATTTCATTTCAACTTGTCTCGTGCTGTAATTTTAATTTTAAATTTCTTGCGTCAGACTCTCGCACAGATGATTGGCTGCTCATGTCATCCCCTTTCCCACAAACCTTCATCATCGTAGCCTACATTTACTTTGTCACGTCACTGGGGCCTAAGATAATGGAGAATCGCAAGGCCTTTGACTTGAAAAGTGTCCTGGTTGTTTACAACTTCGTTGTGGTCATGCTGTCGCTGTACATGTGCTATGAGGTGAGTTGCTGCGTTTGATCACAAAATGAACTCATTTTTATACCTGAATTATTCAGCTGTAGTGAAAGCGGTTTTTTTTTCCCCCATTTTTGTCGTCACCTGCCAATAGTTGTTTACTTCAAGGAGAAGCAACTTACTCATGGTTACCTGACTGACAGATTGAATTTCTCTACTCCACAAAGTACTTTTAAGGTGGCTATGAAATTTAAGTTAAATGACAGCAGGCTTTTTTTAATTTTTTTTTATTTCCATGTTGTTACAAGAATCACTTCACACTGCTGTTCATTTGATTTAGTTCTGTTATATAAATAATAATTAAAGAATTCCCCAAATATTCTTTAATTATTATTTATATAACAGAACTATATATAT